CTCTCTCTCTCTCTCTCTGTGTACTTCTATTGTTTTAATTATTAAAATTTTAAAGTATATATTAAAAAATATAAAAATAAAAACAAAATGGTATAATAATCATTTAATTTTTGGAGGGACCATTTACATATAAAAACATGGCGAAAAGAACCACAAAACCAAAAAAATCAAGGTTTTGATGAAACCGGAAAAAATGCATCCCATAAGGACCATTTTTTGCGGTTTGTCTATAATTTTTCTTGTTTGAAACAAACATCAAGATGTAAGAAAAATGATTAACAAATTTATACTTTTTAATTATGTAACATATATTATCAATAACAATTGAGATTATTAACATTTTCTCTATTTGGTTATTATTTTCATCCTCTTCTTATCCTCAGTTGACCCATCCTCCTTAATAAATGAATGTTTTTTTTACCACATGTCAATCTCTCATGAGTTTTGACACTTATCATTTTATGGTATTTTTGAAATAAATATTATCCACTTGTCAATTTTTGGTTTGTTTCAATTTTTAAAATTAAAATCATATATTTATATATATGTAAAGTATTAAATATCATATATATGATATTAAATTGTAATAAATACATTTCTTTATTTCTTATTTTAAAGTTTTACATTAGAAAATATTAAAAAAAAAAAATTTTGTTTACACTTTAATTTTTAATATTTTTTAAAATTAACCTGTGTAATACACGGGGTTCACACCTAGTCTACTATAATAAATGAAAGGTTTTTTTTTGCCATATGTCATCTTCTCCTTCATTTGGACACTTGACATTTTCTAAAATTTTTAAATTTTCTATTTTCCACTTGTTATTTTATTGTATTTTTCATTTTATTAAATTAAAATTCCACATTTAATGTGTAAGGTAATATATGTGTAAAGTATTTATTAGAAAGTGTTTATATATGTAATTTATTCTATACATTAAAGTTTCAATAATTTTAATAACTCAATTTTTTTTTATTTTTCTTATAAATTCAAACTTTTCAAATTGTTAAAATTTCATATATTTTTTTTAATTAAACCCATGTAATACATGTGTATCACACCTAGTTTATATTTACTACAATAGAAGGAACATTATTTTAAGTGTTGAACTTGATTTGCAAGTTTATCATATTTTATAATTATACAATAATATTTAAAAGGTCTAAAGATATAAACTACAAGGTAATTTCTTCTTTTCCACCTTTGTTATCAAACTGTTCACATGAAAAAATGGTAAGTATATTCTTGCACTAAAACTTACTAGCAAATATGGATATCAAAGTTATTCAGAAATAAGAGTAAGAGAATAATAATATACCAAGAATAACTTTATACTAAGCGGGACAAACATGATTAATTTTAAAACTTACGAAGTACTGGATACAATTAGATTCTTTATGTTTTATTCGGGTCAAATTTGATTAATTTTAAAACTTATGAAGTACTAAATATAATTCGATTCTTTATGCTCGAATCTTCATGTTTTTCATCCATATTTTAAAATTTAATTTTCATGCACAAATCATGTGGCATAGATGTTCAACATTTGCCTTTTGGTTTAGAAATGAAAGGAAAATGTAATATGGGGCTATCATCTTGAACAAAAGAGATGATGTTTGTCAAGACAATAGTTATACACTTATATGTACTTAAAACTCAAAAATAAAGTGGCTCGCCATGCTAACTATATTTCCCCAATCGTTGGTAGCATCATAGTTTTTGAAAATGAAATAAACGAGACATGCCGAATTATATGTATACTGAAATTGAAAATACTAAAATAACGAAATAAATACTAATACCATCAATCATATATAATTTTTAAGTTTGAATAAATAACAAATTCATTTAAACCAAAAAAATGAACTTGTTTTAGAACCGGACACAATTGGTTTTTTGGTTCAGTTTAAATTGGTTTTATCCTATGATCCTATTCCTACCCTAAAAAAAAAAAAAAAAAAAAAAAATAAAATAAAAGATAAAAATAAAAAATAAAATGTAGACTGTAGGGGACTGTTTGTACGCTTTATGAAGTTAAAGGGGGCCTAAAGTCAAATTACTTTCAAATTCATCACCTATTCCCGGCCCCTTTCTATAAATTTAAGCAAGACTCCTTGCCTGACTGGCCCATATGATCACCGTACAATTTTCACCGCCGAACGCCGGAGAAAAAGTTTGCGCGTCATTTAATACGGAGGCGAATTTTTGTTATTGTAATAAAGGCAATGGGAAACGTCGCCCTAGATACATTGATGTCGGATTTCCTCCAAAAGTCCGGCGGCGTTGCCGTAATTGATGGAGGGCTCGCGACGGAGCTTGAACGATATGGTGCCGACCTTAACGATCCGCTCTGGAGCGCAAAGTGTCTCCTGAATTCTACTCATCTTATTCGTCAGGTATACAAAACCTCACTACTATTTTGTTGATGCTTGAATGGACACACTTACATGAGTAAGCTCCATGAAATGAGTTTTTTTTTTTCGTACTTTCACAAATATGTACTCTCTGCTTTCTAGGTTTCTCATTTATTTGATAGACTATTAAGAAATAGTATCGAATTACGAAACAGTTCCTGAAGCGTTTTGGTAGTGACGCCGAGCTCTTACAGAACGTAATCGTACTCTTAATAACTGAAACGAGTTAATAATCTCCTTTTCAGTACTATGTTATATATTGTAATGAAAAAAAAAAACGATTATACAAGTGTTCACGAACTAATTTATATGCGAATTGCAATGAGCAACTTGTGTAGAATCACAGTAATCTTAGTCGATAATTACAGTTTTGGAGTTAACTGACTTGGTTTCTGATTATTATTCATCTTCTTAGAGGAGCGAAAGTTAGCTGGAGAGTTTTCAGAGGAGTAAGCACATTTATCAACCCTAGAGTAACCTTAGTCGTTCAACCAGAGAGGATTGTTTGCTAAAATCTCTTTCCCAGGCGACTAACTGACATCATACTGAAATATGAACATTTTCACTATATTTGTGTCCTTTCCTCAGTGTACTCATCTGTTTGGAAGTTTAGGTACACCTTGATTATCTTGAAGCTGGTGCAGATATAATAATAACATCATCTTATCAGGTATAACAAAGTGGTTGTTGTTTAGCATAGCATTCATATGAGCATATCTCTCAAGTCTCACCTTTCTTGAATTGGACATGGACAGGCAACAATTCAGGGGTTTGAGGCAAAAGGCTATTCTCCAGAAGATGGTGAATCCATGCTGAGAAAAAGTGTAGAAATTGCACATGAAGCAAGGGATATATACTATGAGAGATGTCTTGAATCTTCTAGTGATTGTGATTGTAGAATTCTCAAGCATCGTCCTATCTTAGTGGCTGCATCTGTAGGGAGTTATGGGGCATATCTGGCTGATGGTTCTGAATACAGGTGATAAGCTTATTGTTATCACTTATCAGTTGCATATTAGTGTTTATGTTTAACAATTGTATCTTTTCTCATACAGTGGGGACTATGGTGACTCAATGGATTTGGAATTCCTGAAGGGTTTTCACCGAAGAAGAGTTCAGGTTTTAGCTGAATCTGGTGCTGATCTGATTGCATTTGAAGTTGTGCCAAATAAGCTCGAAGCACAGGTATATAGCAATATACTTGGTTTATTTTGAAATAGAACAAACTCAAAACCAAAAAAGTGTTTAGATTTATGGTAATAAGTAGTATTGAACAGGCTTTTGCTGAGCTTCTAGAAGAAGGCATTATACATATTCCTGCATGGTTTGCCTTTAATTCCAAAGATGGTGTAAATGTGGTGAGTGGTGATTCCGTGGCTGAATGTGCTGCAATAGCTGATTCCTGCAACAAAGTTGTGGCTGTTGGAATCAATTGCACCCCTCCTAGATTTATCACTGCTCTAATTTCAACTATAAAAAAGGTATGAGTCAAGAAAGTCAAAACTGTTTTGATTGACCAAATGGAATGGAATGATATGTTAGTTTGTTGTCTTCCTCAATCAGGCAACAACGAAACCGATACTTATATATCCCAACAGTGGTGAAACTTATGATGCTCAACGAAAGCAGTGGGTGGTAACTACTACTTCATCTTTATTTATTTATTTATTTATTATTTTTTACCTATTTGATTGAACCAAATGGAATGGAATGATATTTATAGAAAAATAGCGGAGTTCCAGATGAAGATTTTGTTTCAAACGTGAACACATGGTGTGAGATGGGGGCATCACTGATTGGAGGCTGCTGCAGAACTACACCCGACACCATTAGAGCCATTTATAGGGCTCGTTCCACCAGATCCGAATCTTCAAACTGAAATTTATATACATATGATTGATGATCAAAACCACATATTAAAGGTTTCTTAGTCTTTCTTCTGTTTTATGACTTTAGAATGCACCAATTTTGAAATTTTACTATGTAACTGATGGATGTTTGAATTGAATGATTTTAAGGTGCTAACTTACATGTTATGTTTGAACGGATCAAGTAACTCTAAATTGATTTCTGTTGACAATTTGATATGAAAACCCAAACTAAATCAAAATTCAATCCGAATACACCAAATTACAATTCGATTTATATTACTTTAACGTTAACAATTAACCATATATAGTTTTCAAGTTTTAAATGCAAAACTATTCGTTTTTTAATAGATGTATTAAAGGGTATTGATTTTTATTTTGACTTTTTTATTGGTACGTTAGGTAATTGGGCAATGTTTAGATTCTAGATAAGGTAAGTTAGGCCATCAGATCATGTTTAGATTCCAGATAAAGTGCAATATGTACAAACCATATTGAAAAATATTTGAAAGGGTTTTTGTGCTAGAGACTCTACTAACTTTTTCAATTGGTTTTAAAAGCTCATTATTATTTTATTTGGCCTTTTATAGACCCTAAATTCGAATTTTACTTGTCATTTTTACCACTAACATAAAAATTGACATACTACTACCCGTTATAATGAATTGATAGTGCATAGGTGGAACACATTTTAAGAAGCTAGTATGCATGCCCTAAATGAAGACAACATCTACAATATCGTTTCCTATTTTTAACATATCTTTGTCTGCTCTCGAACCCTTAAGAAGCGATTCATCTTCATCTTCGATGGCATACTTAGCCGGATCAAGCTTTGTGAACGACACTGTTGTAGCTACTAGGGATCGTGATAACAACTTGTGTAATTGTCGTCATCCTCCAAAGGTCACCGTAGAAAGGATGTTGATGTCTAATAAGAATCCAACTCGTAGATTTCGCAACTGTGTTGACTCTTTGGTAAGCATCTTCTTCTTTAGGGTTTGTTGTCTACAATGTGGAGTTATGGGTTATAAAATCTTGTGCGATAATGTTGAGGTTAGGGTTTATGTTGTTGATACAGTCGATAGTGGAAATGGGGATGTTCTTGTTTGTGTAACTGGCTATGTATTTTTTTGTAGGTGGAGATGGAAGCTAAGAAGTGTAAATACTTCAATTGGATCGATGGTGAGATGACATCACACTACAAGCATGCCTTTATCAATCTCAAGTATGAGTTGTAACTTATGAAAGACACCAATTACACTGACAGACTGGAGGTAAGGGTAGCTTTGTTGGAGAACTTGAATGTTGAAATCACTACTGCTAAAGACATTGTAGATGGTGAGTTTGCCATGACAGTTGAAGATGACAAACAGTTGAGTGGTGAATTGAAGTTCGTGAGGACGAAGTTCGGGATTGCTATGATGGTGCTTGTGCTTCTTGTTGGTGTGTTGCTGATGCAGAAATCAAATGTGTTGGGATATGGATGGTATTATGATGGGGGTGTTTTTTGGTGGTTTCGATGTTCTCCCTTTTTGTAAACATGGCTTGGGGATAGGGATAGAAGATAACTGACTTTTGGTGATTTGGATAGTTGTTGGTATTTGTAGGGATGTAAATGCCCCTTGTATTTTAACATATTTTTGTATGCCTATGTGCTTTTGTATTTAATGGAAACAAGCATCTTTCTAGTATGTGCTTTTGTATGCCTATGTGCTTTTGCAAGTTTGGTCTTCAAAATTCTCTCAGAAGGCTTTCTTGTTCTAACAGCACCACTCACGCCCCTTGAATTAACCTATAATACACAAAATTACCATATTATCCTTCAACTAAGATATTACTTAAAAGTGTATAAAGCATGGTGCAAACCATACCCTTTTTTACGACCATTCACTCCACCACCTGACATTGGAACATCATGCAGTCCACCACCTTCACCATCTACACCTCCATGCAGTCCACCACCTTCACCACCTACACCTCCATTCACTCCTCCTGCACCTCTTAACCTACAAAATCTTATACAAGATCACATGTCAACTATTGCTTTGCTCAAATAACAACATAATTACAATTCACCTGGTTAGTCTTGCTTTTCTTTGTTTTTTTCACTATGAGCTTAGTTGGCTTATTTGTTGATTTGCAAGTCACATTGTTATGGCTAAACATATGATAAACACTGTACACAATGGCTTTACCCTTCTTTGATACCTTGTGCTTCCCCATCCTCTATGAGACATTTCTCTTCCTTTTAACAGCAGATCTTCCAGGCATCCTTCTTCTTTGGGGAGGTAATGGTGGGGTAAACGATGTCTGTAGCCACATGTTACTACCATTCATAGGCAAGATATTGTTCAGGTATGTTTTATTGTAATTTGACCTACAAAAAATAGGATTAACAAAAGTCTCAACATCCCATTCAGAAATAAGATTGTAGCACCTGAATGTGCACACCCACATCCATTCAGTTGCCATAACCTACAAGAACATGTTCTGTTGTCAAGATCTATATCATAAGTTTGCCCTTCATTTATAGTCTCAAACTTGTTTAATCCACTTGGGAGCACTTGCATGTACTTAACTTCAATCTTTAAACCATTCAGCAACTGCCTGATGGCAGGAGTTACCTCCTTTGACCATTTTTTGTGTTTCAAGTTATACATCCTCTCTATTATATATAACATCAACTCCTCCAACAAAGTGATAATAGGTTTCCTTCTGGCTTCCACAATTATTGCATTAAAGATCTTTGACAGACCATTCTCCACGGCAACACAAGCCCTGCCGACCTCATAAAATGCCCTTGACCAAGTCTTTAGATCCATTTCCATCAAATGGTTACGGGCTTCTGGGATTAATTTTTCCATTTCTTTCATGAACATATTGAAAGACTCTGGTGTTGTTGCATTAAAGGCCTTCCAAAAAAGGTTCTCAAAAATAGCCCCTGCAAACCTTTTCTTAAAGTTTCCAACAATGTGTCTGGAACATTATCTATGCTCAGCATAAGGAAGCTGTAACACCCCAAAAATACGAGCCAAAAATTTCATTTTGAAAACACATATTTAGCAAAACATTCGAATTAAAGCGTTTACTGATCATAACATTTTATAAAGATATCGCATGTCTGGAAAACATTTCATAAAACATAATAATGACAGAGTACAAATCCTCAGGAAGATCTCATGATGCGGAATACGGAGCATGTGTGTGATGGGTCGCTACCGCGCCAACTCTTTCCCCTTCGAAGAAGAGGTACCTGAAACCAAAACTGAAAACTGTAAGCACGAAGCTTAGTGAGTTCCCCCATCATACCGCATACCATACAATCACATATCATACATATTGCCAGACATTTCTGGGGTGCCCGACCTACCCGGTACGACCATTATGGGGTGCCGACCTACCCGTATCAAGCCATTCTGGGGTGCTGACTACCCATGTCAATCCATTCTGGGGTGCTGACTACCCTTCGGTCCTGACGACCGAACCTCGGGGACTATTTCACCCCCTACTGCTACTATCACATATATCATAACATAACATATTATCAGACATATCTGGGGTGCCTGAACTACCCTTCGGTCCTAGCAACCGAACTCGGGGACTAGTCCCCCCTACTACCTCTATTGCATATAACATAACAAGCCAGCATGCAAACATATCATCACATACTGTCAGACGTATATGGGGTGTCTGACTACCCTTCGGTCCTAACAACCGAACTCTACAACTATCACATACAACATATCATGCTAGCATATAACATATCAGGTAGTAGCAAACCTAGATGATATCACAAAGACAATCATCTATCATACATCTCCTACTGGTGGGCCGGCATTGTGGTCTTAGACCCACCGCTACTAGAAGGTAACTCACCTCGTAGTAGCTGATGATCTGTGTGGGAATGGTCTATCTGCTGCTGCTGCTCCGGAAATCCTCCGGCTGTAATTCCCACCAAACACTTAGTCAAATACTGCTAACCCCCTCAGGGTAAATTGTCCATTTACCCTTAACAAGTCATGAGTCAAGACACAGTCAACTGCCAGTTGAGCAGACTCGCTGAGTTGGCTTGCCAACTCGTCGAGTCCCTTTCTCTATACCCAAGTCCAATAGTCCTTCATCCTACTTGCCTCTTCCATTGCAAATCAGGGTTGAAAATGGAATGGATCTCAACAACTTCTTTTTCAACTTCATTGTCACTAGTATCTCCTTCAGGAGGACATAACTTATTAAGAAACTCATCCCCACTTGTCTTGTTCAAGGGTGTGTTGTCTTGGTCAATGACTTCATCTTCAAGACCTACATTGGTATGAGTTCCATCAGAGACAATGTTTCCTTCATTTCTATCCCACCCTCATCTTCAAGGCCACTTTCATCTTCACTAATAACTAGATTCATGTCATCATCCCACCATTCCTCCAAACCATTCCCATTACGATCAACACAAATTGAAATTTCCCCATACTCATACCCGGTATCTATAAACTATGCATAATCCAAGTCATCTACAATGGGACGAATCCCTCCAGATAAAGGATTGTTAGGTATGCAATAGTAAAGGTTTTCAAACTCTCCCCCCTATAACTCTTCCAAGAAAAGAAAAACAATCATTGCATCCATATCTGCCTAATCAACGCCAGTAAAGAGGAATTGACTCCCACCAACATATCCACAAGGATGTCGCACAAATACACAATTGTAGTGTAGATGAACTCTCAGATGGACAACTTCATTTTCGTTCCCAACCATGCAAAAGTGTAACAAAACTCAGAGAGTATAATATCTTCGACAACAACAGTGTAATCTGAATAGTGGCTTAGATGGTTAAAAACCCTAGTTCGACATCTTCCTTCCTCTTCTTATATACCACATGATATATCGTAGAGTTTTTAAATCCAATGGTCGTGTTGCATGTTCGACTATATGTCACTTCGCCTTCAGCACTCCAAAAGCACGTTCCTCATCCTTACATGCTCCTTCTTGTCTTCTCTTAAAAAAATTGTCTCGTTCTTCAACTGGGTGGCGGAATGTCTTCACAAATGTGGAATACTGAGGATATATTCCATCTGTAAGGTAATACTCATATTTGTATTCGTTTCCATTTACCGTGAAAGGAGCATCCGAGGCTTTTCCATTCAAAAGATCGTCGAATATTGGCGAGTGATCAAGAACGTTGACGTCGTTGTTGGAACTTGCAACCCCAAAAAATGCATGCCAAATCCACAAATCTTGAGAAGCGACAACCTTTAACACCAACGAAGGTGATCCGTGATGACCACTTGCATATTGCCCTTTCCATGCTACCAGACAAGTTTTCCATTTCCAGTGTGTGCAATCAATGCTTCCTATCATTCCGGGAAACCCATGGCGTTCTTCATGCGCCACATACAATTCTTGCAAACCATGTAACGAAGGTTTCCGCAAATACACGTCTCCAAAAGTTTCAACAACGTCCCTTGACAATGTATACAAACTCTCTCTTGCGGTTCTTTCGGACATTCTCATATAGTCGTCCATGGTGTCAGGTGACTCCCCCATAGCCATCAAACAAATGGCCGCAACACATTTCTGCAACGTTGTAAACCCTCGTCTATCTCTAGCATCATATCTTAATTGAAAAAATTTGTACCTAAACATAAATAAACTATAGTTTAAAAATATATTGCATATGTTGTAAAATTAAAGAAACATGTAGTACATTTTTATTTATTTTGTATAAAAGTATAGTACAGAAGCGATACCGGCTTTCCAAGGCGTTGATGATTCGTAAGAACACATCCCTACTCAAACGAAATCTTCTTTTAAAGTCATTCGCTCCGTATACATAATTATCCGCAAAGTAATCGCGATATAGATGTTCGTGTCCTTCCTCGCGATTTCTGTTTAACATCACACGTCTTGTTAGTAGCGGGGCTGAGTCTAATTGTAACAGGTCGGTAGTGTAATAATGATACACCATCCTAAAGAAAATATCATCATCTGAATAATTGGACGAGTCGAAAGATCCATATTTTTTTTTGAAGATAATTGATAATATGTAGAGAGAAGAGAAAATATGTGAAATTTTTTATAAAATGGTAGGTATTTATAGGGTATAAATGGTTTTTTTAATAGTTAATTTTTTTTATAACCGTTGCATTTTAAACGTTATCAAATGTAAAAATTTCCTCGTTGCATCTTGTCGCCTTGGCCATGAGATCCACCCTCGACGAGCAAAAATGAATAGGGGGGGGGGGTGTTCCCCGTGTCATAACGTCGTTGAGGGGTGCCACCTCAACCCCCGTTGCTTCTCGTTGGACCCTTACCGGATGGTCTTAAAACTCTTAAATTCCCCAGTGCTCGAGGAAGTACACCAATAAACTTATTGTCATTTAGCTTTAGTGTTAACTGCTCTAAGGAATTACAAACTATGGATTTGGAATGACACAATATAACCAATTTCAGGTTTAAAATTAATTTTTTTAAAATTTTCTTTCTTATTAACCCTCAAGAATAATGTTTAACAAAATAGCCCTTACAAATTTGATGAACTCATTCGTAACAAAAAAAAAATCACTTTAAGTTTAAATCAAATACCCAAAGGCAAATTGGATGACTCATTTATAACAAATGTTTTTTTGACGGGAAGAAACTGTATATGTGATGCTTGAGATTAGGTTGTCAAAACCTTAACAACACACGTGCTAGTAAAACTATTTAAGTCTAATATAAGATTTTGAAATATTAGTTTAAACTGTAGTTATTGAAAAAGTTGTATGAAATATCAATCTCTAGAACACTATAAGTTTCATATTATTAGAAATCAGACTTTTTGATATGATTTTCTTTTAGTCCGAAACAAAGCATTCGCATACAATGATCATTTTTACAAACATTCAAAATGTTGGTTAGCTTCTTTATCCCATATGTTATTGTGGACATTTTCATGAGTATTATTGTTATTTTTTTTTTTTTGTGAAAACCACAAATTTAGTCAAATCCGTTAACCATTTGCAAAAGAATAATAAAAACTTAAGGAAATAATCTCAATAACTGTCGCAATCACAGATGAGTCATAATGGGTTGTAGTTTTGTAAGTCCACTTATGGTTTCGTCATTTGTATAAAAAGTCGATTTGATGATTTTACAAAGAATAAAATCGTAGTTGACATCTAACCAACTTTGGTTTACTATAATCCAATTGCAATTATTATTTTATTTTTATAAATATTTCCAATAGAAGTCTAACATTTTGGCTATCATTTACAACATTGCTAGAAGAATTTTTTTTTTTTAAATAAATCAATCATTAGGATAATTTTTCATCTGAAAGTGTAATTTTTCTTTTCAAAGTGTAAATATTTTGGATAAGTGGCTACTAGTATGACCAAATAGGTAGCTTAACAAAATCCTATCCCAATGTTATCATATACTTAGTTTTTAGCTATTGTTTGACAAATGGTTAAAAATAAGGATGCGGTCAAAAAACGAATAAACCATCCGAACCAAATTAGGAATAGGTTAATCGATTCGAATTATTCAGGTTCCGAGTGGCTAACCGAAAACATATAAACTTAATGGGTTTGATTATGGTTCAAGAATTTTCGTTTAAATGGATTAACCTAAATAAGATTTTTTAAAAAAAAAAAAAAAAAAAAACCCCTCAATATTCCATTGTTTGGGGTGGAGGGTACAAAAGGAGCAAGCGAGAAACGACACCAAAAAACCCTCGATATTCCCTCGACGTTGTCATCAATCGCACATCCGAGGCTTCGACTATTGGATCCATACCCGTCTATTGGATCCATAAACCCGATTGGACCAGGGTCACCAAATTGTGGATACCGACGTACCGTAGAGTAATCGTTTTTCTTCTTCCCACGGTTAAAGAAGAAAAAAAGGGGGGAGAAGTAGGTCATCTTCTTCGCCATTAGCATCCAATAACCACACTCGAACACCTTCAAACCAAATCCTAATCCTCTTTCGTCGTTACCTCACTATTCGAATAGTTGATTGACTCTCAAGTTCTGATCTTGAGGTACGAAGAGATAAAAAATCGAAAGAAATTAGGGTTACCAAAGGGATCCAAGTTTTTTAGACTCGAAAGAAGCACGTTCATTTGGTAATTCAGTTATCCGTAACGCTTTTCATTAAATCATATTTTCTTTCATGTGAAATTGCTTAATTCATTCGTAATGTGATTCGAAATCTAATATAGTTACTGTATGTTGGGAATTAGGGTTTTAATTTACAAGGTTCTTATTTGTTGTTTTTTTCTTTGGTTTAGGGTAAAAACTACGATATGGAAGAGTCTAAGCATAAATCTAGCAAGAAGGACGATTCTTTGAAGAAAGACGAAGATTTGAAGAGAGGGCATCGTGAGAAGGATAGGCGTAGAGAGAGGGAGAGAGACAGGGATAAAGAGAAAGAGAAAGAAAGGAGTGTTGATGAGAAGTACAAAGACAAAGAGAAGCATAAAGAGAGGCATAGAGATAGAGACAGAGATAGGGAGAAGGAGAAGGAGAAGGAGAAGGAGAAGGAGAAGGAAAGGAAAGAGAGGGAGAGAGAGAAGGAGCGTGAACGGGAACGGGAACGAGCAAAAGAGAAAGAGAACAGAGAGAAAGAGAGAGAAAAAGAGAGGGTGAAAGAGAGAGAAAGGGAGAAAGAAAGAGAGAAGGAGAGAGAGAGGAGGGAGAGAAGAGAAAGGGAAGAAAGAGATAGGGAAAAGATGCGAGAGAAACGTAGAGAAGCTGAGAGGGATCACAACAATGGTGTTGGAAATGATGATGCGAGAGATCGAGATAGAAAGAGGAGGAGGAGAGATGATGATTACAAGGAGGAGAGAGAACGTAAGGTGTCTAGCAGACGAAGCAGGGAAGATAGTGTAGATAATAACAGTGTGGCGAAGAAGGCTGATGAAAACTCTTCAGATAAGAAAGAGATAAGGAGCCGTGAAGAAGATATGGAGGAAGAACAAAGGAAATTAGATGATGAAATGGAGAAGAGAAGGAGGAGAGTTCAAGAATGGCAGGAAAAAAGAAGAAAGAAGGAGGAATCCGCTGGGGAGACTGATGAACTAAAATCAGGTAAGACATGGACTCTAGAAGGTGAGTCTGATGATGAAGAAGCTGCTGCCCCTGTAGACAATGAGAATGAAGAAGGTGACATGGATGTGGATGACAATATGAAACAGAAAGTTGACATTGAAAATCGGAATGGAGATGTCATGGTTAACGGATCACCAGATACTGTGGCTCCTTTGCAGAATGGTGGTGATATGAAAGAAGAAGAAGAGGAAATCGATCCTTTGGATGCTTTCATGAATTCCATGGTGATACCAGAAGTCAAGAAGTTGGAGGTTCCTGTTCTGGATGATCAAAAGAAAGATGGCAAGAAGATTCAGAACAATGGACAGCAACGAAAAAGATCAATGGGGAGGATCATTCCTGGTGAAGATTCGGATTCGGATTATCCTAATGTTGAAAACGAGGACGATGATCCTTTGGAAGATGAAGACGATGATGAGTTCATGAAAAGAGTAAAGAAGACAAAGGTTGAAAAGTTATCCCTTGTTGACCATTCAAAGATCGACTACATCCCATTCAGGAAAAACTTTTATATCGAAGTAAAGGAAATCCAAAAAATGTCTGTTGAAGAAGTTGCTGTTTACAGAAAACAACTTGAACTGAAAATACACGGAAAAGACGTACCAAAACCGATAAAAACCTGGCATCAAACCGGACTCACAACTAAAATCCTAGAAACAATCAGAAAGCTGAATTATGACAAACCAATGCCTATCCAAACACAAGCTCTCCCAATTATAATGAGTGGTCGCGATTGTATAGGCGTCGCGAAAACCGGTTCAGGTAAAACTCTAGCTTTTGTTCTTCCAATGTTGAGACACATAAAAGACCAACCACCTCTCATGTCTGGAGACGGACCCATCGGACTCATAATGGCACCCACACGAGAACTCGTTCAACAAATCCACAGCGACATAAGAAAATTCACTAAAGTGATGGGACTCACCTGTGTGCCGGTCTACGGAGGTTCCGGTGTTGCCCAACAAATCAGCGAGCTGAAACGCGGAGCTGAAATCGTGGTCTGCACACCTGGCCGAATGATTGACATTTTATGTACAAGTGCTGGAAAGATAACAAATCTACGTAGGGTCACGTATTTAGTCATGGACGAAGCTGACCGTATGTTTGACATGGGTTTTGAACCTCAAATCACCCGGATCCTTCAAAACACCCGACCCGATCGCCAGACTGTACTTTTCTCTGCTACCTTCCCCCGCCAGGTGGAGGTTCTAGCAAGAAAAGTCTTGAACAAACCCGTTGAGATACAGGTAGGCGGGAGGTCAGTTGTGAACAAAGACATAAGTCAGTTAGTTGAAGTGAGACCAGAGAACGAAAGGTTCCTTAGGTTGTTGGAGCTACTCGGGGAATGGTATGAAAAAGGTAAGATCTTGATTTTCGTCCATTCACAGGAGAAATGCGACGCGCTGTTTCGCGATCTGTTGAAACACGGGTACCCGTGTTTATCGCTCCACGGGGCGAAAGATCAAACGGATCGAGAATCGACGATTTCTGATTTCAAAAGTAACGTTTGCAATCTGTTGATCGCAACTAGTATTGCTGCTAGAGGTTTGGATGTGAAGGAGCTTGAGCTTGTGATAAATTATGATGTGCCGAATCATTACGAAGACTACGTGCACCGTGTGGGCCGTACCGGGCGGGCCGGGAGAAAAGGGTGTGCGGTTACGTTTTTATCGGGTGAAGACGAACGATACGCGCCGGATCTCGTAAAGGCTCTGGAACTTTCCAATCAGGTTGTTCCGGATGATTTGAAAGCTCTTGCGGATGCTTTCATGGCGAAGGTGAATCAAGGGCTTGTTCAAGCTCATGGGACTGGTTATGGTGGAAGCGGGTTTAAGTTTAATGAGGAAGAGGATGAAGTGAGGAAGGCTGCGAAAAAAGCACAGGCGAAAGAGTATGGATTTGAAGAAGATAAGTCTGATTCGGAAGACGATGATGATGGTGTTAGGAAGGCGGGAGGGGATATTTCTCAACAGGCGGTTCTTGCTCAGGCGGCTGCGCTTGCTGCCGCCAGTCAACAACCCCCGACAACCGGCGTTTCCCTGCCAGGTGTACTTGGTGTCGGTGTTGCAGGTGGTAATGATGGGGCGGCTAGGGCGGCGGCATTGGCGGCTGCGATGAACTTGCAGCATAACCTGGCGAGGATTCAGGCGGACTCTTTGCCTGAGCATTATGAGGCTGAGTTGGAGATTAATGATTTCCCTCAGAACGCGAGGTGGAAGGTGACACATAAGGAGACTCTGGGCCCGATTTCTGAGTGGACTGGAGCTGCTATTACTACTAGGGGTCAATATGTTCAACCTGGTAGGATCCCAGGACCCGGGGAGAGAAAACTCTATTTGTTTATTGAGGGAGGTACTGAACAGTCTGTTAAAAGGGCAAAAGCGGAATTAAAACGGGTTCTGGAAGACATCACAACACAAGCGTTATCTCTTCCTACTTCACAACCGGGGCGTTACTCTGTCGTATGAGAAGTAACCAACACTTTAAGGTAACTAGGCTCCTAATTCATTTTAATCTTTAACCTACATTTATATATATATATATATATATATATATATATATATATATATATATATATATATATATATATATATAGTTTTGTTGAATCATGAATGTGGTATTGACTGTGACATGTATATATTATTATATATTACAATGTATGATTTTTATATTTATTTATTTTTTAATGCATTTTTGTAGCCTACGGCTTGAAGGAGGATCCAGCTTGCACATACATATTACATATGTTGTGATGTGATGTGATGTGCAATTGGTTTTTAGTGGCTGCCAGGTGGCGATGACTGAGTTTCTCTTTTTGTAATAAAATGTATGACTGAAAGCTTGAGTGTTGAGTACGGTTTTCTGTAACTACTGATGTTTGTTCTGATACGGGCATTCATTTCTGATTGTAGGTTTGGTTGGGTGAAGGGGCCTTTGTTGCTTTGCTTCATGAATCTTGACTGACAGTGTTGTGAAGTTAGCCTAGGGTTTTTACTAAAACCTCCCCCCCCCCCCCCCCCCCCCTTTTTAACCCAAACACCTTGATTGCCTTGCATATCGATTCTAAGGGAATTTTAGACATTTGATAGGAAACTATGTAGAGTCAGATATTACTTATAAATTATAACTTCATTAAATCTGACACTTCTAGCATTGCAGGTTCTTATAGATTGTGGTCGTGGAGGATGAAGCTGGAGCTCTTTTATTCATTTGGGGAGTACAATGCGATTTTTAAAACTTCTATTATGTTTCAGCTCCATTGGTTTGTTTGTTTTTTTTTTATCTTGGTTAATATCTACTTTTTTGAGAATCAACTATTGGGGATCTGTAATATTAACTGCTGTACTTGATCATACTTTCTTTATAAAAAGAATCTGGAAAAGTTGGACAATGGCTCCATTGAGATCTGCTACTACAATAAGTATTTCATATAATGGAGTTAACATGATATGCTTTGAGTCACAGCTAGATATGAGTGTTAAATTATGTTTGCTAGTATAACAAATTGCATAATCTTGAATATATCCTGGGCACATGAAATATTTTTCTAAAGCTAATGGCACTAGGAACTGCATCCAAGATTGTTTCAGGTTAAACATTATATTTATATCCAACTAATGCATCATTTGCTTCTTGTATATCTATAACTATCTAGTTTAATTAAAATATTCATATCGGCCTCATAATCCATGAAGTTTTGTAGTTGGAACTTGGAAACGACTAGTTAATATGCAGGATTCCCACTTTTGGGCTTATGATTAATCATTAATATGCAAGGCATAGCCTTATTAAGGTTAGATGCTTAACAACATGTGGATCATTAACTTGGAAAGGACAACTTAACATGTGGATGATATCGTTTTAGATGCCTTATTAAGATCAGATGCTTTTATTCTTTATCCAATTGGGGTTGACTCTATCCTTAGGTGCCAGATTCTAGGACTCTATGGACTATGAAGGGTTACTAGGTACTGATTAATGTCAATTAAGGGCCCCACCAACATCTTGTGTCCGGTTTTTGTGATTATAAATAGGAGTCACCTCTTTGATGAAAATACAAACATTGAAATTGAAAGGCAATGGTTGTTAACTCTCCCTCAAGGGCTTCCTGCTTTAGTTTTGTTGAGATTTGAAAACATAAGCAAGGAGGTCTTGGGGGGGTTTTAACAAACAATGTGTCTTTGTTGTTGTTTGTTGTGTGTGTGTGTGAAAACTTGGATGCTTTTAAATAAGCTAACTTTATTTCCCATCTCTCCCTCAAAGATTTCTAGCGTTTTGAAATGGTCAAAAGTTCCTAATGTCGGGTGTTTTGGAAGAGTGATGACAAACCGTTGTCTTGATCCATTCTATATATTTGCTAGACTATGATCAGTTAAGTAAATATGTGAGGAATAGGAAAAAATAAATACGGGAGAAGACAACTTTATAAAGTTCATGTATGAAGATTTGATGCCTTGCATCTCTAACCGTTTCACTAATGTAGGAAGTGATGTTGAGTTAATGTAGTAGTATTTGTTGAACGCTTTGCTTGCATGATTTTGTATATCTATTGCCTTGCATAGAAGCTAAACAAAGGAAAGCGTTCATGTAGGTTGGTTTGTAGATAATAAAATTAAATGATTTTAGCTCTCAGGTTGTAAAAATTAAATGGCCTATTAGAATAAACATAATAGTAATGTTTTGTAGGCTAACTTCTATTTTGCTTATAATTCATTTTACATATATATAGTTAGGAATTTAGGATCAAATCTTAGATTATAAGAGTTTATTTGTTGTATTTCAATTGGTAATTTGGGCCTAAAAAATAAGGTATTATCTTGTTATTTTGTGATAAATTTTGTATTATTTGAAACAAGAATAGGTTTAAAGAATGAGGTTGCTATAATGATGCTAGTATGGAGATTGATCCAAATTCAGAAAACCAACCATGACAAATTTGTGAGCCGAGTCAGATGGACAAAAATAAAATAAAATTTAACAAAATCCCCAAAAATCCTAACTGTTTTTGGAAACCCATCTTTGTAGTTTCTTGATTTTATCTAAATTCTTTGATTTTGAAATCTTCCACATTATTCAAAAGCCATCTTGAGATCTTAAAACTTCGTTTAATATTGTAGAAGGTTTGTGAAGTGTGTAGAAAATTAGATGTGCCTATGTAGACTATAAGTGAGATTGTATGTTGTAGCCGTTAGATCAAATAAATCTTGACCATCCATAGCGGATGTGGAAGCCTATATAGAAGGGAACATCTCATTACGACAAACCATATAATGTTGTATAGTTTCTTTTTGTTGCATTATGGAGTGATAATGTAAGATATCATTCTCATTAATTATAATGACTATTTAAAGATTTCAAGATGGAAACTTATTCCCACTCTAAGACATAATATGGAAACTATAACATAGTGTGATAGCTATCAAATACTATTTAACATCGTTAGTTTCATTGGTAAACATATTTGAGATTAACCCAAGATGCACATTGGCCTTTCTCCTTCTCTAATGTAATAGAGATGAACTTATTGATATTGTCATTCTAACCTTGGCGTTCTTGTGGAAGTTTCTAAAGATCCGATCATGGTGGATGAGGATTAAGTAACAAAAGGCTATAAAGTAAAGGTTGTGGGAATTCAAAATTTTGTCAAAAACAAAAGTATACGGTGATGATGGTTTTGTAGGTGATAAATTGATGGGAATAAGAAAAAGAAACAATTATTTAACAATCTATGCTGAAAAGATTAAATAGACGTTAGTATAATCATAGAAGTTATCAATATTAATAGAATGGGTGCAAGAAAGATGTTAAAATATAAATTTGATCACTTTGATGGTGTTTTGATGGAAACTAGTATATCTTTTTGATGGAATAACAGGACGGTGCTACAAACATGAGGTGGAACACAAACACTATAAACATAAGGGATAAAACCAAAACTTGAAAACAAACTTTATAAACAAGTTAAGTATTATCCAAAATTATGACATATTGAAAACAAGTTATTAGACCAAAGTGTTGTACCATACATTTAATTGTTTATATTTATTATTTGTGGTGTACCCTTGTAATTATTTATCTATAAATAAAGCATAACCCCATGATCATTGTCATGGAGAGTCATCTTTAATCTCATCATTTTCATGGTATCAAGAGCCTCTCTCCCTTCACCTCCCACCCCCTAAAATTCTGATTCTCCTTCTTCTTCCTCCTGTTTCGGTTTCTTACCACCCTTCTCCTCCTTCCATCGGAAATCTGCCACCACCCCACTGCCCCTCCCATGGCGTCTTCTTCCACCGAAACCACCCTATCCATGAACACAATTCTTCACCTCATTACCATTCGCCTCTCTCCCTCAAACTATCTGCTGTGGGTCAACCAAATGACCCCTCTCCTTATTTAATCTTTTTGATCATATAGACGGCTCCTCTCAAGCCCCGCCATCCCACCTTGTGGTTGATGGCAAGCCTACTCTCAATCCGGCTCATGCGGAATGGCTAGTTGCGGATCAACGGGCTATTATTTTGCTTCAAGCCTCTCTCACCGAGGAGGCCTTCTCAGAAATTGTTGGCCTCACCACCGCTCATTCCATTTGGTTGGCACTTGAGGCTTCCTTTGGGAATTCCTCCATGGAACGTGTGCATAACCTTCGTGACACTCTTCGCCTCCTTACCAAGGGTTCTGCCTCGGTTTCAGATTTTGGTAGGCGTTTCAAGACCATTTGTGATCAATTAGCCGCTATAGGCCACCCCGTTGACGACGAGGACAAAAATCATCATTTTTTACGAGGACTTGGGGATCATTTGAGGCCTTCTCCTCTGCCATACGTGCCTCCGGGATGTCTCACTCCTTTCGTGACCTTCTTGCAAAGGCCGAGGGCCATGACATGTTCATTTCTTCGCTCCACAGTGGCTCCACCCCACCCGTCGCATTTTCTGCTGCTGCTGCCCCAGGCGCCTCCGCGGCTGCCACTGCCTCTCGTGGTCGTGGTCGTGGTGGTCGGGGTGGTGGTCATGGCGGGCGTGGTCGTGGCCGTCGTCCCCCTCATTGCCAACTTTGTCGGAATAATGGTCACTATGCAAGTCAATGTCCTCAACTCTCTTCTTTTGCATCTTCTCCTCCCGCAAATGATTCGGATTTGGTGAAGGCATTTTTAGCCAAATGTAATGTTTCAACTTCTGTCCCGGATTGGTATGTGGACTCTGGTGCTTCCGATCACATGGTTTCATCCTCCGCCTCGGTTAATCAACCCGTACCTTTTGGTGGTGATGGCTCGGTCCATTTTGGGAATGGCAATACCCTTCCTATCTCTTCTATTGGATCCTCTTCTCTTAATAATGGGATTCGTTTGCAGGATGTTTTGGTGGTTCCGCAACTCACCAAAAATTTATTATCGATTAGCAAATTGACATATGATAATAATGTGGATGTTCTTTTTTCAAAATTTTACTGTGATATTCAGGACCGGAAAACGAAACGGGTGCTAGCCCGAGGAAGGCGTGACCATGGATTATACGTTCTCTCCACCAAACCTCCTGCACGTGCTTGTTTTGCTAGTCGGGGGTCCAAGGCGTCGTTTGAGTTATGGCACTCTCGTTTGGGCCATGTGTCGTTTGACACCATTTTGTTATTAAATAAACTCGGACGTATTTTTGTTACATCTATTTTACCTAAGCCGGTTTTATGCTCTCCGTGCCAATTAGCGAAATCGCATCGTTTGCCATTTAATAATAATAATACACGTGCTATTGGAGTTTTGAATTTGGTCCATTGCGATCTTTGGGGCCCATCTCCGGTTACCTCGGTTGATGGTTATCGCTATTATGTTACCTTTGTGGACGATTTTTCTCGTTTTACGTGGTTTTACCCACTTAAAACAAAGGCCGAATTTTGCATGGTGCTTGAGACTTTTATTGTATTTGTGGAGACACAATTTTCGTCCAAAATAAAAATATTTCAAAGTGATGGTGGTATGGAATTTTTAAATAATCGGGTTAAGGACATTTTTCGCGCCC